GCCTCATCAAGGATGTCGTTTTCCTCATGGTCATTATCGTTACAAGTTTCATACGGAAGCAATTCTTGTGGTTCAACTTCAATTTCTATATCTTTTTCGCTTGTGTTATACACCATCGCATAGCAATTGCCATCATTGACGGAAACCGCGGCATTGCCCAAAAATACCTTATCGTTACCAACATGAATGCGATCAAGGAGTCCTTCTTTAATTTCGGGATTTGTTACCTGAATAGGGACAACTTGACACGTTCTCGCTTGTATACGAAAAACGGAGGCGTTTTTCTTAGTACTTTCAAATTTGTTTGTTTTTGTGCGGGTGTTTCGATTTCGGGTGCGATAGGAATAAAAGGAATTGGTTGAATAGGGTTACTGCGTGTAACAATTGTTTTGTGACAAAAGGATATTTCGACTTCTTCCTGATTTAGGAAATCGATGCCGAGAATACCCCTTGCTGAGGGTATAGGCAGATCGTAATTTACTACCTGGACCTTTACGGTCGCATCGAAAATTCTAACCATAGCAGAGCCTAAGGTTTCAATTTGTGAAGATGTGATGCCTGTAATAAATAATTTATCTTTGGGATCAATCTCTATTTCGGGGTCAAGAACTTCTACATCGATTATTGTTATATCCGATCCAGTGTCGACTAAAAAATTTTCCTTCCCGTTTCTTAAATCCGTCGATTTGACACTTATAACTGGGCAGGATCGCGATTTCTTTTCGGTAAGCTCCCTGCTTTGAATTTGATTGACGTTGACGCATTCTGTGCTTTCTGTGTGGCGCTCGTCGGGGAGGCTATCAGACGAGCGCTGAATAAGTTTAAAGATTCCGGTTGTGATTCTACAATATTATCGCAAAGAGGAGCTTCTTTACTAATTTGAGAATTTTGCGCAATTAAATCAAGGGAGGTTAATTTGATTTGACATTGAGTGCAGAGTAACGAACATAAATCTATATTCGCACTATTGACATCTTTCGGATTAAAGTTTTGAATATTTTCTAATGGGTTCTGAAAGTTCGAAGGGGCTTGGCATTCTGAGGCGAGCATGCTTCGAGAAGCTTGCCTTTGATAACCACGTTGGAAATGGTCTGGTGTAAACTGAGGTTTAGAGTTCTCAGGGCGTCTTAATAAATAAGGTTGATCAACCCTTTGAGATGGATAACGAGAATGAAGTGTTGGAAGTGGCAGATTATTACGCGAAGTGTCTGGGGCATAAAAATTTCTATCTTGAGAATAAAAGTGTTCGCCTCGATGCTCAGCGGCATCTTGCAAAAAAGAACAATATTCTTTTGCGAGATCGATGGCAGACTCTAAGTTTTCTGGATTTTTTAATGAAACTCTTATTTCGAGATCAGGTCGCAAACCCTTTAAAAATGTTTTCAACGCGGTTTTTCCTACAAGGCCAGTTACTGCGGTTACGTCTCCCTCTGGAACAGATGTAAGGAGAGCTACTTTGGTTTGTCGTACAAGATGTTGAAGACGAGAGCCAAAGTCAGAAACCGTTTCGTTGCGTTCCATTTTCGCACGCCCGAGTTCACTAAAATACGCTTCGAAAGGTCGTACTACCGGTGAAAATTCTGTTTTTAAATGTTTGATAAGTTCCGCAATAGAAGCAAAGGTTTTTCCTTCCACAGAGTCACAAGCCGCGCCACGTAATCGCGCCAACACATTTGTGATAAAAGGTTGTTTTAATCCTTCAGGGACCGTAACATTAGCCGTCTCTAAGTTTTGTACGAACGTACGTAAATCAGGGTTTCTCCCGTCAAAATATGGAACACCCAGCAGGGCATTCTGCATTGCAAAATATTCTGCGAAAGCTGACATTGAAAATGTAGGATCGGCTTGGGCCATTTTATAATAGTAAAATTTTACACAGCAAATTAACACGAATTTAATAAATTTTCAAGCACAAGGTCGGGATTTGAAAGCGGTTTGTGTTTAAAACGTTAAACAGGGAAAAGAGCAAAATTGGTATGTTATTTAACAATTCAATCAAATTACAAAATAGTCAATTGTTTAAATTACTTTGCTATTTATTACGATAATCATACATAAATATATGTATATTTACTTTCCACTTTCAAAACCAGACAAAAAAATTGAAAGATGCTTATGATATAATTAAAACGAGAAAACGATAAACTTGATCTAAACGAATTTTGTTTAAATCAATTTCATAGTATTTTGTTTAACTGAAAAAAATACCTTTTGGTTCATTTAAAGAAACAATATATTTAATTCAAACACAAATTATGGTTAACTTATAAATTATTTATAATCAATTCTTAAGTTTTAATCAAATATAATATATTCTTTCTTTAAAACCAAAACACAATATATACTTGAATGAATCACAATTTTTAAAAAGTTAATATTTTCGAAACTAATACAATCACAGGTCAATTAAATATTTAATCTGCAATATTTTTAAGTTTTCATTCAAATATAATATTTTCTCGGGTTAAGACAGACTTGACAGAAGATTGTCAATTTAAGCCACACAAAATCGCACATCGACCAATATACAAACAAAATTGGAATTATGTGTAAAAATACATAATGAACAAAAATGAGCTATCCCACCGCTGTCACCATTTGTTTTTCTCTGTTACGTATCACGGGCAACTAATGCAGAGAAAAATATCATTTTTCATTTCAATTATATGATTTAATTAATGTTATTCTTTTCGAGCGGCAGAAAAGAATAGTGTGAGGTGCGATAGCTCGGGTATTAAGGAAGGTTCCAACTATATGTATTTTTAACATTTATTTATTCATTTATTTTCGATGAGTACAGTAAAGCGTGAATCAAAAGGACAATTTAAACTCTAAAATAATGCGCTTACTCACTGAATGATGATTCCCTGTTATTAATCCAAATTATAAGTGTGTAAACTTCACTAAAATTTTAACTATAAATTAAACTACTTTTTGTATTATTTAAAAACTACCGGGACACTTGTTCCCGGGCACAAAGCAGGTGGAGCCTCACTCGCGATCCCGAAACCACTAAAACCTCGGTTCACGAAGATTAAACGATTAATCCACGTATGTGCACGTAATCGACTCAATTAACCGATTAATTGTTTCGTATTCACAAAATGATTAAAGTCTTATGGCATTCAGCCGGCTAGCACTTAGTATTACGCGTTACACAATTTAATATCAGTAAAGAGGAAAAACTTATGTGCACATAACCAAGAGGTTGAACTTTGGTTTTCGCGGATCGAGATCGGAGAAAAGACAGAAGTACCCTTTTTTGCAAAGATTGAGATGATTGAGTTTCTGAGGACCAGGGCGTTCCCAAATTTTCCCTTACCATTTTTCTTTAACCAATTGGATTTTTGGGAGTTTTAGGAGGAAAGGGAAAAATGGTCATTTGTAAAGTTAAATTTTGGGTCTTGAACTTGAGATTGGGTGGTACGACAAGGGGCTGGGGTGCGGTACTCAGGCAGCCTTATTTCTTAGAAATTTCAGGGTTGCTATAATGGGGTTGAGTGTTATAAACCATCGGTTTATTCGGCAAAAGTATATTTTTTGCTTTACAACATTGATTGTTGTCTTGCTGCAATTAGCTGTACCTTCCCAGATGATTCCCATATTGTCGAGCCCATCTTCACCAGATTAAGTTGTAAAAATTTATTATATTTTCGTGAGAAAATTTTAAGGAAACGGATTATAGAAATGTAAATTGTTTAGGGGTTAGAAAAATGTGTAAGAGATCTAAAAACCCGAGGTCCTAAGCTAAAAAAACATAAAATAAACTAAAAGTATTTATCATAAAGGAAGTAAAATTGGTATAATAAAAGAGAAAGTTCACCATTCTGTGATGTACTAAAATAATATAAATTTAGGAAGGAAATAATAAAAATACTAAAAATAATCTAGAAATATATGCGAAAATAAAATCTACAGGAACGTTACACTCGAAATAATTCAATTATTTAAAAATATTTTTTTAATCTTCTTAGAAAAAATGTATTTTAATTATTTTTAATAAAATCTTATTCGAGAATTCAATTATTTTCAGAAATAATATAATTCTTTGCAGGAATTCAATTATTTTCATAAATAATAAAATTTTTCGAAAAAATTCAATTATTTTTGTAAATAATAAAATTCCTCACAGGAATTATATTATATTTAAATTATATTTAAACACTTTAATAATATTATTTGCCACAAATTCAATTATTTTCAATGCAATTTTATTAAAATATTAAAAATAATTGAGTTAGAGGAGAATTTTAATTTAAAAAAATTCTAGAAATTATTAAAGAATCTCCATCATTTGAAAAAAATTGAAAGATACTCTTCAAAAAGAATTTATTTAGGATTTTCAAGTTTTAATAAAATTCTTCTCAAAAATTCATTTATTTTTTTAAATAATAAAATTCTTCTTTTTTTAAAATTTTTCGAAAAAGTTTATTTTTAATTATTCCTAATAAAATCTTATTGAGGAATTAAATTATTTTCACAAATAATAGAATTCTTTGCAGGAATTCAATTATTTTTATAAATTTAATGCAATTTTTCGAAAGAATTTAATTATTTTGGTAAATAATAAAATTTTTTGCAGGGCATTCAATTATTTTAAAATGTCTGAATAAAATTATTCGCCACAATTTCAATTATTTTCAATGCAATTTTATTAAAATATTAAAAATAATTGAGTTAGAGGAGAATTTAATTTTAAAAAAATTTTTAGAAATTCTTTAAATGAATTTAATTAGGATTTTCAATAATTTTAATAAAATTCTTCTTAAGAATTCAATTATTTTTTTAAATAATAAAATTCTTCGAAGAAATTCAATTATTTTTAATTTTTTTTTGATAAAATTCTTTCCAAGAATTCATAGATTTTGAATATTCATTAGTTTTGAAATGGAAAACATTTAAAAAGAAATTATTATTTTATTAGATTTGAATTATATTATTAATGGTTGAGATTTGCTTTTGAATCAAGAAAACTTGAAGTCGCAAAAATTTTGTCTTACCTTCCAGTGATTTTTCATATCCACTCTCGAATCGTTTTTCATTAATTCCACTAATGATTGTGCCATGAATGGTAAATCGTCAATTGTAGCTCCCATAGTTGCAAGATTAAATTCTGCTGACTCTTCAAATGTCATGGAATCAGTTTTAGAGTAGCCGAATAATTTAGGATTGAATTCCTAAAAATTATTGAATAATTGTATTAAATTCTCTTTTTCAATAGAACTTTGTTTTTGTAATAAAATTTCATTTTTTATTTATAAAACATTTTTTGTTAGAAATTTAAAATTTTAATTTTACTGACAAATTTTTAATGATTCTTTACTGATTCTTTACTGGCAAATATTTTACTAATCAAAAAGGGGAAAAGTCGTTTGTGAAAATTATTAACAATTAGGAAAATTGTAGTATTTGTTAGTAGAATTTAATTAATTTAGAGAGAGAGAGAGAGAGAGAGAGATTATTGACCTTCAGAATATTAGCAACTGTGAGATATTCACGCCATGTTTTTTCACCTCCGCCGAGAAATGAAACACCTCTATTGTCAGTTAATAAGTGATATAATTTTGTTCCCAAGGCGCCTGATCCAGCAGTCAATGAGTCCCCTAATGCTGCATAAATATCAATATCTCCGGGTCTTAGTTTGTGAACACTAATTGGCACATCTAATGATCTAGTACCTATTATAGAAATTAAGTTTGTTTCGATGAATTTTACCTTTTTGTCAAAAAAGAAAAAACTTTTGTAAACTTGAAATAGAAAATAAACTTGAAAAAATTACAAAAAAGAAAAAAAAAACAGAAAAAGGAAAAATTTTATACAGGAGTGATACATTCTCCAGGATATATAGAATTTCAAATGAAGAATATTTAAAGAAGGATAAAAGTTTCAAAAGATGGAAGAAATAGTGTCGAAATAGGATAAAGAGGAATGAAGAAAATAAAAAGAAGGGAAAAAAGAAAAATATTTATAGTGAAATAAAAAATACTTGACGAAAAATTGGTGTAAATTTTTATCATGATATAAAAGTCACTGGGAGAAGAAATGAAAGTGCAGGAAAATAATTTTGTGTAGTGTAATTTGAAAAAAAGTACCTTCTAATTTACAAGGAAATGGTACATCTTTAGAGACAGGATCTTGAGTTCTTTGGGTCTTCTTCGCTTCCCGACGCATTTCTTCTTTGACGCCCATTTTTTCTTTTAAAAAAAATAATTTAATTTTTCTTTTTTGAAAAAAAATAATTTTTTTTCAAAAAAGATTTTTTTTTTTCCAAAAAAGAAAAATTAAATTATTTTTTTTAAAGAAAAAGAGAAATAATTATTTGCATACCAAAAATTCTTAAAGTCCAATATTTAAATTGACGGTATAATCGAATATTCTCGTTGGAATCGAGAAATGTTTTTTGTGAATTTAGACAAATTGAGAGACTGATGAGAAACATGGAGAGAAATAAAAAATTCATGATTATATTTCACGACTCGCGAGAATTTGAGATTTGATTCTTCGGATCTTTTAATTTATGAACTGACTATTTATTCTTTATTGACTAGGAATAATAATAATAATAATCCATATTTAATTAGTTTGTTGAGAAAAAAATAATTTGTTGCAATAAGAACATGTGTATGTATATCGAAGATTCGTACGAACCTCGACCTGAGTTCCATGGTCGTGTCTCGTATGAATTCATTAGCCTTCGTAAGAAATATTTTTCGCTGAATTGTAATTAACATTCAAGAAATTATAATTTTAGTACTATGTATAACTTGGATTGAGTAACTCTATTACTTTGTAATATAATCTGTGGGAAATAAGATTGTAATATTATTTGTTAAAATTTGTTTGCATTATATTAGGGAAATTGTAGAGAAATAGGAGAGAGAGAGAGAGAGAGACGAAAGTTCGTGGTTCGGTTAAACCAAAGTCTCATTGACCCTAAAATATTCGTGGTACAGAAACAATAGGACTGCGCATAATTTACACAATAAATTATGTGTATAGAAAATCGATTATTGTGGAAAGCAAATCTACGTTATCTTTTACATTTTGCATGCATAATTCGTCGAAAGTTTCGTTCTATTTTATAATTAATTTCTCTTTATTAGCAGTTTCTGCAGATAGGGCAAAATATTTCAAATAATTTCAATATAACAAGAGTTGGCACGGGACAGGAAAATCGGGGAATTCAGGAAAAAGTGAGGGAAAGAGAAATTGGTCAGGAAAATCAGGAAAAAGTTGGAGAATTTTATCAAAATTACTGGAAAAATATTAATTTTTCAGAATTCAGGAGAAAAATGTGAATTTTAGGGTTTAGAAATAACATTTGAAAATATTAACAATTAACAAGATTTAATTATTCTTGAGGTTTTTTTTTTTTGTTTGTCTATGAACTTTGATATCACGACGAGATATAATACAAAATCTCACTTTTTTTCTAATTCTTACAAAAAATTATTTTAAATAATTAAATTCTAAACAAACTGTCATAACATTGTTACTTATAAATTACTTATAAATTATTTAATGAATAATTTTACTTACAAATTTTTTAAACAATTTAATTTCAAATAGTTGCAACTTGAAATTTTAGATAATTGAAATTTTAAATAATTTTCAATAAAAATTCTTATAAAGTTTAATGCAAAAAATTTGCTATTTATTATTTATAAATTATTTGACAAACAATTTTACTTAAAAAATTTCAAAAGTAATTGAATCTTAAGAGAGTTGTGTTTACAATTTTTTATAAATTTGAATTTGGAAAAGTTTCAAATTTTTGAATTTTAATTAATTTTAATTAAAAATTCCATAAATAATTGATTTTTAGAAGATTTGCGTTTACAATTTTTATGAATAATTAAATTTCAATAGATTATAAATTCAAATTTTATAAAATTGGCATTTTATATAATTTTAATTAAAAATTCTTAAAAGTTTATTATAATTATAAATTACTTAACGGATAATTCTTCTTAAAAATTCCAAAAACAATTTTAAATCTTAAAGAAGTTATGTTTACAATGTTTTAAAATCATTGAATTTCAAAAGATTTCAAATTAAAATTTTTAGAAAAAATGGAATTTCTAATAATTTTAATTAAAAATTCACAAAAATTTATTATTTATAAATTAGTTAACTAATAATTTTACTTTAAAAATTACAAATGTAACTGAAGCTTAGAAGAATTAGGTTTATAATTTTTATAAATAATTGAATTTCAAAAAAGGTTTTAAATTAAAATTTTAGAAAAATGTAATTTTTAAACAATTTTTTTAAAACAATTTTGATAAAAATTTCCAAAAAATTATTTGTTAGTTTTTGAAAAATTATTTTCTTTTTTTTATAAATTAGTTAAATAATAGAAAAAGAATTGCAAAGATATTAGTCAAATTTTTGAGTAAATTTATATATTTAATTGAAAAGTTTTTAAATAATCAAAATTTCGTAAAGTTGAAAAATTGTAAACAAGTAGATTTTAGAATTATTTCCAGTGAACTTTATTTTTCTCTTCGAATTCAGAAATAACTTTTTCAAAAATCCTTCTTTAAATTTATAATTTTCAATAATGTTTGGAAAAGTTATTTCAGAATTTTAGATTTGTTTCTAAACTTCTAAAATTGAAAAGTGATTTAGAGAAGAATTTTAGTTAGAAATTCTAGAAAATTTAATAATTGTTATCGTGAAAATAATTTCTGAGAAGTTACAGTAGCAATTCTTATAAATTATTAAATTTCAAGAGGTTTGAAGTTTGAAATTTTTGAAAATTTTAATTTGAATTATTTTTAGTTAGAATTTTTTTTTTGAAAAACTAATAATATTAATTAAATATTGATCTGAAAGAGAAATATTATTGTCTTTTTGAATAATTTTATAATTAAAAATATTCACAAATAAATGTATTGGAAACATTTTTTGTGTATCTATTCAGTTTTAGAATATTTTCATGAGGTCAGGGAAAAATTCAAAATATTCTTTCTCGAAATCAGGGAAAAACAAGATGAAATTTTTGCGACAACACGGAATATTTTGTTGATAGAGAATTTTATAAATTGACACTGTTAGGTTTTATTTGTATTTTTATGAGGATTTTTTGGAATTGTGCATATTTTGTTTGAAAAGACTTTCTTGGAATTTTCTTTCAAAGTTAAAATGAATTTTTTTTGTGAATCAAAACTACTGAAAGATTCGAAAGAATTTTTTCTTATCTATGGATTTTTATTTTTTATTTTCAAAAGAAAGGGAAAAAATATGAATTTCTTGCAATTTTCTTTCTAATGTCGAATGAATTTCTTTGAGAATCAAAACTAAAAGATTCTTTTGAATTTTTTATCTATGGATTTTTAGTTTCTATTTTCAAAAGAAAAAAAAACGATTTACTTGAAATTTTCTTTCGAAGTCGAATTAATTTTTTTTTGAAAAATCAAAACTCAAAATCCATAGGTAGGAAAAAATTCGTAATAATTTTTCCCTACCTATGGGTTTTTGTTTTGATTTTCAGAAAAAATGCGAATTTATATTACAATTTTTTTCCACTCGATAATTATTGGACCATTTTTCTTTTTTAGATTGAACCTTATAAATTAGGGGGAATGTTAACTAAGAGTTGAATTTCCAATCTGCTATCGTGAGTAACCGTGAGCTTTTCGACTTGGATAAGGACTTGTGGGAGTGATGATATAAGTGCAACCTGCAGAGTAGAGGAGAGTGAGAGAGAGAGAGAGAGAGAGAGAAGGGAGTCTGAAGTGAAGGAGGCTCGACAAAGTTCTCTCGATAACTTTATTTCGAGCATTCGACAAACTCAGATATAAGTGAACTGCAATCGTCAATTCAATTGAATTCGTGAAGCACCCAATGCACAAACCTTCATATATATATACATACAGCGTATTGGCGCAATCCTTAAGGATAAACTGCTCTTTTTCTTCGTCTATATACCATGTGGATTGGACGTATAACAATTTCTCAGCTACTCTCTTCTCCATCGATTTTTAACTGGTTACGTCCATTTTGCTGTTCAAGCAAATTTTTATCTTCAAATAGGTACACCATTCTCCCCTTTTTTTTTCCCTTTTTTACAACTTCAAATATATCCCCCTTTTGACCATTCTTATCTTTTTAGTTTTCTTTACCATTTCTCTTTTCCTCTCTTTCCCTCTCTCTCACTCTCTCTCTCTCACTCTCTTTCTCTCTTTTTTCTACATCTGACTTTCAACCACAGAGAATTGAATTATGTCGCTCTGAAAATAATCCCTTTTCAAATTTCCACAGTTCGGGCAAAACTTTTGCACGACATTTTCTCTTTGTTCGAGGAAAAACGAAATTTGTCTGCGAAAAAAAGAGATTTAATCCAAAAGATTGGGAGTGAAAGTTTTGCTGATTGTTTCTTTTTCTTTAAATTAAAGATTTTTTTCCCTTGTAAATTATGCTATTCGATGGTATAATTTTTATTTTGTTATGAAATTCAAATTTAATTGTTTTTAAGGAAAGAGAAGATTGTTATTTTCGCAGACAATAGCGAGGAAATATTTTAAATATTCGATAAAATTATTTTTGTGGTAATTTTGAGCCTTTTTGGATTTTTACTTTTTTCTGAAAATTTGTAGATTTTGAAATTCGTTCTATAGAAGCGAAAAAAATTACTGAATTAAAAATTTAATTTCTACTATTTTTGAAGTCATTTTTTTTTCTTAAGGATTAATTTAGGCTAAAAATCTTATAAAACTATTGTTATTTAGTTTTTTTATTTGAAAATTAATTTGTTTATTGTTCTAAATAATTTTCAATCATAATTTTTAAATATTTGTTTTTTTTTTGTAAAGTTTTTGTATGAAAAAATTATTATTTAGATTAAAATACGTTTTTTATGTATTTTTTATGTAAAAGAAATTATGATTTTGTAATTAGAAAAAATTATGATCTTGGAATTCGAAAAATAAACAAATGATTATTTAAAAAACAATTGAATGACAATAGTTTTTTTAAAAAGATTTTTAGCATAAAAAATTTCTTCAAAAATAGTAAAAAAAAACAAATTTTCTATTCGGCAATTTTTTGTGGATAAAAAAACATTTTCTACAAAATTGCAAAAATTTCGTAAACTACCAATTTTTAGAAAAAATAAAAATTCAAAGGGGGTCAAAATATTTTCTGACATTTTTTATTTTATGGCCATTGAGAATTATTCACAAAAAATTGCCATAAAAATAATGTGGAATATTTAAAATACTTTCTAGATATAGTTAAAAATACAAGGTTGCCACAGTTTAGAGAAATCAGTGAATTCAGGAAGAAGTCAGGGAAATTAAAATTAGTTAGGAAAATTAGGGAAAAGTCAGAAAATTTTATGAAAAGTACTGGGAAAATTTCAAATTTCTACAATTGAAAAGAAAATTGTAAATTTCAGTGTCCAGCAGTCTTTAAAAATATTAAAAAGATTTTAATTCCTTAATAATTTTTTTTTAAATTCCAAAAATAATTTAATTTCATTAGATTTGTGTTTACAATTTTTTAATTAATTGAATTTCCAAAGTTTTCAAATTGAAGGTTTAGAAAATTAAAAATTCGAATTTATATTCAATAATTTTTATAATTTTACTTAAAAATTTCAAAAATAATTCAATTTTTTTAGAGTTTTGTTTACAATATTTATAAATAATTGAATTTCAGAAGGTTTCAAATTGAAGTTTTAGTAAATTTGAATTAAAAGTTAATAATTTTACTTAATTATTTAATAGTTTTGTTTAAAAATTTTAAAGTTAATTTAATTTAACTAGAATTGCGTTTACAATATTTTTATAAATAATTGAATTTCAAAAGGTTTTAAGTTGAATTTTTTGAAAATTTAAATTGGAGTTAAATAATTTTAATAATTTTTCTCAGCAAATCAATAATTTTACTTAAATAATTAATAATTTTCATGAAAATTCCAAAAATAATTTCATTTAAGTAGATTTGTGTTTACAATTTTTATAAATAATTGAATTTCAAAAGATTTAAATTTTTAAATTTTATAAAATTAGAATTTTTAAATAATTTTAATTGTAAATTCTCAAAAATTTAGTTTTATACTTTTCAAAACTTTTGGAAAAATAATTAATTTAGAGATATAATTTTTACAGGGATTCAATTATTTTGGTAAATAATGAAATTCGGTCTGGAAATAATCAGGGAAAAGTAAAATAAAATTTTTTTGGAAAACTTGAAATATCAGTTTACAATCTCCTTAAAAATTTTATTTTTTGCTTTTAATTTATTTTTCAGTTAACTTTATGTAATTAATTCATAATTAAAAATTTGTCCTATTTTATTTATAAAAATAATATGAACGAAAAGTTAACAATGAATATGTTTCGTATTGTAATAGAAAGCAGGTCAAATATTTCTTGTAAAGTTTATGATTCGAGAGAGAGAGAGAGAGAAAGAAGAGAGTTCACATTTCATTTTCAAGCAGTTTTCATATTTTCCGGACTTCCGGTTCCCGCTTGGCACATCTCACTTAGTTTCACTGGTGCGCGACAAAATGTATGAGCAAATAGACATCCAGACACATTTCTGATATTTCTCTCACTCTCACTCTCTATCTCTCTCTCTCTTTTTCTCGGTCTCTAAAATTCTCTCTTGTATATATACATAATATAAATGTATGTTGCTTGTATGCTTTTGCAAACGATTTATTTATTTCTTTTTTTATTGCAATAAAAAAAAAAGAGAAGTAGAAGTAGAAGGTGGGAAAAGCAAACAAGTGTACTTGAACGAGGAGAAAAAGTATCATGGTACATTTTGCATAAGCACTTCATCATTTGTGCAAGAGAGAGAAAAAAAAATGAGAGAATGACGTTACTTTCTTGGGTTGGCGCGCGGGGGAATTCAGAAAAACATCAAGAAGAGAAGGATAAGTGCACACCAATGCAGAAGAAAAGTATCCTTTCGAGTGGTTCTTACCACGATTTATTGATATTCTCAAGATTTAAGCAGCTTTCTCACTATTTATCTACTTTTGAGAAAGAGATGAAATAAAAATTCACGAAGACGATTGAAAGTTTTATAAAAGAGAGAAATAGAAGACTCGAATAGCTTCACGTTCACAGTTTCAAAAAGTTGAGGAAAGTTGAAAATTAAAACAATGGAATAAAAACGAACTTTTCGTTTAACAATAGTTTAGAAATATTTAATATATAATACGACAAATAATTTTATACATTTCATACATTTTATAAATTTTATACATTTTATACACTTTATAAATTTAAAAACTAAATCAGGGTTGCAACAAATATTTAATTTTATGTTTCCCTGACTTTTCCCTGATTTTCTGACAAATTTACAATTTTTCCCTGACCCTAAATTTACTCTAAAATTTATCAGATACTCAAAAAAAAAAAAAATGTTCTATTACATTTATTTACAAATTTCTTTAACTGTAAAATTATTTAAAAACATCAATAACTTCTTTTTTAAACAAAAATTTAACCATTATTAAGTATTTTTCTGTAGGAATTAAAATTCTTCAAAACATTCAAATTCAAACCTTTTTGAAATTCAACAACTTATAAGAATATTATTACAAAACATGAAGAAGACGATCACTCCAAGTCTTCGACTCGGAGTGATCGCCTTCTTCATGTTTTGTAATAATTTAAATTACCATAAAATTTTTTAAAAAAAAGTTAATTATTTACAAAAATCCTAAATAAAATCCTTCGCAAGAATTCAATTATTTTTACAAGTAGTAAAATTTCTTAAAAAAAAGTTAATTATTTACAAAAATCCTAATAAAATCCTTCGCAAGAATTGAATTATTTTCATAAATAATAAATCGATTATATTCGGTAATTCATTTTTAAATCAATTTTTATTAGAAAATTCTAGAAGAATTCAATTATTTAAATTAAAAAATAAATAATTTATTGAATAATTGAATGTTTGTTAAAATTGAATTCTCATAAAGAATTTTATCAACAAATTTTTAAATAATTGAATTCTTTTGATAAATTTTAATAAAATTTTTAAGAATACTTACATTTTTCGAGAAATTTGATTAAAATATTGTATAAAAAATAATTCAAATCCTGCGATGAGTTTTATTATTTATGAAAATAATTTAAAATTTCCCAAGAATTTTATTAAAAATTTTTTCTAAAATAATCGAAATTAATTTATAAAGATACTTGAAATTTTGACAAGAATTTTTTTTTTTAATTTTTAAACATAATTGATTTTCTGCGAAGAATTTTATTACTTTTGAAAATAATTTAATTCTTCCAACGAATTTTATTCAAGTTTATAAAAATAATTGAATTTATGTGAAGAATTTTATTATGTATATAAATAATTGAATTCTTGCAACGAATTTTATTGAAGTTTATAAAAATAATTGAATTCTTGAAAAGAACTTTGTTAATTTTTTTTAAATAATTGATTTCTTGGGACGAATTTTATAAAAATCTTTTTAAATAATTGATATTTTTCGAAAAATATGAAATTTTGTATTTTAAATAATTGAATTCCTGTGAAATTTTGCCAAGAATTTTATTAAAATTTTTTAAAATAATTGATTTCCTGTGAAATTTTGCCAGGAATTTTATTAAAATTTTTAAAAATAATTGAATTTCGATGAAGAATTTTATTATTTATATAAATAATTGAATTCTTGCAACGAATTTTATTGAAGTTTATAAAAATAATTGCATTTCGGTGAAGAATTTTTTTATTTATAAAAATAATTGAATTTCGATGAAGAATTTTATTATTTATAAAGATAATTGTAATTTTGACGAGAATTTTTTTTAGAAATTTTTGAACATAATTGAAATTCTGCGAAGAATTTTTATAACTTTTGAAAATAATTGAATATCTGATATCATTTGTAACTTTTTCAAAATTCAATTTAGTATTTTTAACTAAAATTCTTCTATCAATCTAGTTTTTATGAGAATTGTAAAAATTATTCATTAAATAATTTATAAGTCATAATTTTATGATAGTTCTTGAAAAATTAAATTATTTAAAAATAAATTATTGTCAGAAATAGAAAAAATTGAAGGTTTTGTATTAAAATTCGTGGTAATTTCATAGTTTACGAGGCAAACAAAAAAAAAACATCAAAATTCAGAGTTTTCTCATGAATTTTAAAAATTCAACTTTTTCCAGTACTTTTAATAAAAATCCCTGACTTTTCCCTGATTTCCCTGACCTTTGGCAACCCTGTAAATAGTAATTTTTCCTTTCGATATTATTTCTGAATAATTCTAATTGTTAAACTAATTTTAATATTTGATTTTTCAATTTTAGAGCTTAAAAATTTTAGTTTCGAAATTTAAGAGCTTTTAAAATTTTAGAACTTTGAATTCTTTATTACCATCGTCGGCATATTGTTGACGATTTTTAAAAAAAGAAAAGTATCGAAAAAAGTGAAGTGGCATTAAAAATGTATTTATTCATTTTTGTTTCAGGTACTGTGTGACGTTCACTGTAACAAAGGCATCGAAGGCGTGTTACAATGATGCGAATCTCTCAGAATTTGCAGAAGGTGAGTCGTCAATATAAATGGATAGATCGATATATACTGATAGCACATAAGGGGATGCTTAAACGAATGGATTGCAGCAATACGAGATTTTTTCTGTTTTTTTTTTTCTTTTTTGTGTTTTTCGTTTTTCTACTTCCGATGATCGTTTGCTACAGCGCAATCGTGACGGGAACTACTTTTCTCAACGACTCATCCTCTTTTCGCAAGAACCACTGTATTTTATTTTCTATTTCTCATTGTATTTCTGCCGTCGTAGACTTAAAAAATGAGGAAAAGATTCTACAAGGATTTCTTTTTCCTTGACAATCATATTTTTCCGAAGGAAAATATAGACATTACAATCGAAAATGATTCTCTTCGATTCCTCTTCTTGGTTGTAAATCAGTTCGTTTAGAATTCGAAGGGTTTTTTTTTCTTTGCAGAAAAAGAAATGTTTGTTTGAAAAAATTTTTCGGGCTTCGCACTTAATCTACTAAAATCTATTATTTAGTACTTTTTTTACGATTTGATACTAATTGAATACTTTTCTTCGATTTGTGCCACTAAAAGTTACTTTTTTCATCTTTTCTTTTTTTTTTTTTTTTTTTTGTTGAAAATTTGCAATACTTTAAATCCATTAATAGTTGAAATAAGAAAATTACTATTCATTTTCTTCAAAATAATCGTAAATTCTGTAATTTATTATTCAATTATTTTGACAATGAAATTCCACGATAAAATTCAATTATTTTCAAAATTTTTAATAAAAAATTCTTTACAAAAATTCAATTAATTTCCACGAATACTATAATTTTTTGAAAAAATTTATTAAAATTCTTTGTAAAAATTCAATTATTTTGATAAATTATTTTTAATTTTAAAATTATTTTTATTAGAATAGAATATATTTTTAAAAATTATATTAAAATTCTTTGAAAAAATTTAATTATTTTCAATAATTTTAATAAAATTCTCACAAAAATTCAATTATTTTTCACAAATACAAAAATTTTTGCGGTAATTCAATTTCTTGAAAAAATTTATTAAAATTCTTTGTAAAAATTCAATTATTTAGAAAAATTTATTAAGATTCTTCGTAAAAATTCAATTATTCAGAAAAATTTATTTAAATTCTTTGTAAAAATTCAATTCTTTTGAAAAATAATAAAATTCTTTGCAGGATTTCAAATATTTTTAATACAATTTTAATTGAATTCCTCGAAAAATTCAATTATTTTTAAAAATCTTATTTAAATTCTTCGAAAGAATTCAATTATTTTTAAAAATAATTTAATTTTTCGAGAAATTCAATTATTTTGATAAATAATAAAATTCTTTGCAGGATTTCAAATATTTTTAATAGAATTTTAATTGAATTCCTCGAAAAATTCAATTATTTTTAAAAATTATATTAAAATTCTTTGAGAAAATTCAATTATTTGCAATAATTTTAATAAAATTCTTACAAAAATTCAATTATTTTTCACGAATACAACAATTTTTGCGGTTATTCAATTTTTTGAAAAAATTTATTAAAATTCTTTGTAAAAATTCAATTATTTAGAAAAATTTATTTAAATTCTTTGTAAAAATTCAATTCTTTTGAAAAGTAATAAAATTCTTTTACAGAATTTCAATTATTTTTAATACAATTTTAATTGAATTCCTCGAAAAATTCAATTATTTTTAAAAATCTTATTTAAATTCTTCGAAAAAATTCAATTATTTTCAATAATTCTAATAAAATTCTCACAAAAATTCAATTATTTTTCACGAATACAAAAATTTTTGCGGTTATTCAATTTTTCGAAAAAATTTATTAAAATGCTTTGTAAAAATTTAATTATTTAGAAAAATTTGTTAAGATACTTTGTAAAAATTCAATTAATCAGAAAAATCTATTAAAATTCATTGTAAAAATTCAATTATTTTGAAAAACAATAAAATTCTTTTACAGGATTTCAATTATTTTTAATAAAATTTTAATTAAATTCCTCGAAAAATTCAATTATTTTTCAAAATTTTATTTAAATTCTTCGAAAGAATTCAATTATTTTTAAGAAAATTAAAATTTGTTCTCATGAATTCAGTTATTTTGATAAATAATAAAGTTCTTTGCAGAATTTCAATTATTTTTAATGCAATTTAAATTTAATTCCTCAAAAAATTCAATTACTTAAAAGTTTTTAAATTAAAATCTTTGAAAATGTTAATTCCTGTAAAATTGGAATAAACTTAAATATTTATTCTAAAAAATGATTAATTAATTTATTTTCTAAAAATTTATTTAAGTTTACAATAATTTTATTCAAAGATTCTAAACAAAATATTGAATTTTGGAAGAATTGCACTTATAAATTAGTTTTAGAAATATTTTTTCAAAAGGTTTTAAATTTAAATTGAAAAAAAGACTGAAATTTCATGAAAACTTTAATTCCTTTGAGAAAATAAATAACAATTAGTATTTAAATATTATTTCACAAAAATTGTTTAATTTTTGAATAATTTAATTTTGAAATTCTAAAAAAATTAATTATTTGAAAAATTTTAATTAGAAATTTTTGAAAATTAGTTGAACTCTCGAAAGTAATTTTAAAAAAATTGAAACAAAAAGGAAATTTTGTTAAATTTCATTGAAAGAAATTTTATATTTTAAAGAATTTTTGTTTTTTGACTTTCATCAATTAATTTTTAAATATAATTATTCTAACTAAAAATTTGAGAAATAATTGAATTTTAGAAAAAATTATGATTCAAATTATTACCAGGATAAAAAAAACTTAATATTTTTTCTGAAAATTAGGAAAAAGTCTGGGAAAATTGATAATCGAATTTTTGTAGGTTTTGTGAATCGACAGAAAGAAGTTTTTTAATCGTCAAATTTAATTTGTCGATAACTTCTTTTTTCTACTTCATTGTTAGTCTCAAAGCTACTTATTCTTGCTACTTTTTTAAAAATAATTATAAAGTGCGAAGCCAGATCGCTTAAAAAAGAAAATAGTAACTAGAAATCAAGAATTAATTTGTAAAATTATTTTGTAAAAGCAAATAGGAATTAATTTTGTAAATTTAATTTGTAAAAACAAATAGGAATTAATTTGTAAATTTATTTTTTAAAAAAATAGAAATAAATTTATAAAGTTAATTTGTTTAAGCAAATAGGAATTAATTTGTTAAAACGAATAGGAATTAATTTTGTAAAATGAATTTGTAAAAACAAATAGGAATTAATTTTGCAATTTTAAATTGAATTTATTTTGAAGTTTAAATTTAAATAATTTTCTTCTCCTTTCAATTTGTTTAGGTTCTCGAGTGTGTGTTAAATGTCAAACACAAGCCTTAAGACGAGTTCTTGATTGGCGATGTGAAGGTGATGGAGGTATCGAGGCAATGATCACGAGGTGGAGTATGCTCTCATCTCCACATTGTCACGGGAAGTGGTTGCGAACTGAGAAGACAGGTCCAGAATGTGAAACCTTCCTCTGCAAGCCCGAAGCACACTTTATTTTTGTTTGAAAAAAAAAAAACAATTTTTCGACGATTTCGAAAAAAAGTTTCCCATTTCCAATAGTCTTCGACAAAAAAGAAAAACGAAAATTAATGAAAATTGCCTTCGAGAATTTACGTAAGAATTTTTTCAATTTTTTATACTATTATTTACTCTTTTTTATTCGCAATGAAATCAAAGAAAAAAAGAAATGTTTACCTTTCTTTGTTATCAATATTTGTTTTTTTAAGGCAATCACTTTCATTAATCAATTTCCTCTGCGGATAATTGAATCAATCGTTGAAATTGATTTTTAAATGTGATTGATTTAAATTTAAAGAGATAACAAGAGGTGAATTTTTTTTTTTTAAATTACAATGTTGTTGAATTCAAGTGAAGTTTGAAAATTGATAAATTTAATTAAAAGATTAAGAGGAGTTGAAAGAATAATAAGTGATTAAATTTTTAAAAGTTATGTACTTTTTTTACTTTGAAAAGAATTGGAATTTTGGTGAATAATTGAGAATGATGTTTGATTGAGGCATAATCATCGCTATGTAATATACATACATAATCCAATAAGTAAATTTATCTGTAAGTTAGATTATAAATTGAATCCACATATCAGAGATAATATTTTCTAGAGTTTAAGCAATAAAAATAGAATCTCTATTTGGATTGGATATAATTTGATTGCCTATAACGTTTCCTATTTTCTGTTTAAAATATTTCCTGATTTCTTTTTATACAATTTTTTAAATAACTGCAATATCAAATTTTTTTAAGTTTTACAGTTTTCCAACTTTTTTTGAATTAAACATTTTATTTTTTAATTATTATTAATTAATTTTGCAATTTTGCAACTTAAAACGAAAGAATTCTTTTGAAAAATACAAGAATGGTAAATAGAATTATGGTTAAAATGTGATCTTGATTCTAAGTACTGGTATTTTTAAAGAATAACTCTTTTTAATTTTAAAAATTAGTTCTTGAAATTTTTAAGTTTTACTTTTATCTAATGATTTACAGGACACGGATAGTATGACTTTTTTGTTTTTTTTACTATTTTTAGAGAGATTTTTGCAAATCTTTTTAGCACATAAAACAGATTTTTTTCTCACTGTAAAAAAATATTGTCGGTATTATTTTCAATCAATTCTAAGTATTAAATTATTATTTATTTTATTTTAATACTCGAAACGGATTTTATTTGAAACCTGACAACTGAAATCTGACAACCTTTTTTTAACAGTCATAAAAAAGTGAAATTATTATTCATTGAAATCTGTTTAAAAAATTAAATTTTAAATATTTTTCAAAATTTAGTGTTAATCTTCTTTTATTTGAAAATATTACTGAAAATCTAAAGAAGCATTAAATTTTTGTATTTAAATATTTAAATTGTCGAATAACTTTCTGAAAATTATTTAATATTATTTAAAATATTAAAATAATTAATTTAGAGAAAAAATTTAGTTCAGATTTTTTTAATTGAATTTTTTAGAATTAAAACAATAGAATTTCAGACGAATTTTACTTTAATTTTTTGAAATTAAACACTCAAAGAACTTCTTCAAAATTATTACAAAAAAAAAAAATTCTAGTTAGGGAAGAATTTTAGTTGAAAATTTCAGAAAATAATTAAATATTGAAGTTATAATCATAATTAACTTTTAATAATAATCTATTTAATTAAATACTTATTTTGAAAAATTATATATAACTTTTAAATACCTAAATGTAGTTAAAATTTTTAGAAAATTAATCAATTTTAGAAGAATTACAGTTTTAATTTTTTAAAATAATTAAGATTTTAGGATTCAAATGAAAGTTTTCTAGAAATTTTCAATTTACAATATTTAATAAATAATATTTTTTGAAAATTTCAATTTATATCATTTAATAATAATAATTAAATGTTTATTTTGAAAGACTATTAAACTTTTGAATTAATTTAGTTTAAAATTCTAGAAAATAATTCAATTTTAGAAGAGTTACATTCAGTAAATTATAATTTATTGAAATTAGTTTTAAACTTTTAATTTAGTTTTACAACAATTAATAAATTTTAGTTTTTGAAAGTAATTAAATTTCTATGTTAATAATATTTAAATGGTTATCTTGAAAAATTATTAAACTTTGAAATAAATTTTAGTTCTAAATTAAAAAAAAAATTTAATTTTTGGAGTTACATTTAGGAATTTGAAATTAATTTAATTTTAAACTTTTAATTTAATTTTACAACAATTAATAAATTGTAGCTAGTTTTTGGAAATAATTAAATTGTTAGGTTTCAAATTAAATTTTTTTCTAAAATTTCAATTTATATTTAATAATATTTGAATTGTTATTTCGAAAAATTATTAAACTTTTGAATAAATTTAATTTGAAATTCTAGAAAATAATTGAATTTGAAAGAAATGTTATTTATAGATATATTTATATATTTATAAATAATAACTACTTATTAATGTTATTTAATAAATTTAACAAATTTCTATTATTGACATTTTGTTATAGAAAATTTTATATCAATTTTAAAAAAGTGTTTTTTGAAGAAAAATGTTAGAAAATTGAAGAAAATATTTGGATAAAGAAAAAGTTTAAATTTTCAGAAAATCTTTTTTCACATTTTTTGTATTTTGAATCGACTAAACCGACTATTTTTTTTTGCTCCTAAAAGTCGTTCCGTGGCCTGAATATATTTTAGAATAAATTTAATTAGCGCTTAGTATATAATTTTAATTGTATATCAATATATTTAAAATTATCGTTAGAAAATTATTCTTTTCATAAAAATAGTATTTTTAAAAATAGAATTCTTTCGTTTTTTGTTTGAAAAATCTCGTTGCAATATTGAAATCTTATTTTTATTCATTTATATAATATTGTCTCCTCGTTTATTGCATATTTCAAAGCTTTTCGGAATATAACGAAAAAAGGAATGGTAGAACGGGAAAATAATTGAACAGCTCGCAAAAGCATGGGGGGAATTGGTTTCTTCAATTGGCTATCGATCACGTTTAAAAACATATGAATTTTTATTGAAAACCTTTAATGGACTTGGTTTTGAATATATCTTGTTTCAAAACCAAGCGCACTTTAAATATATATATATATATATATATATATATATATATGATGGTAAATTACTTGCTCGCTTATTTCGCTCCATTAAAAAATAAATTTAAATTACCTTTCGTGCTTATTTAAAAAACATAAAAACGATTCGTACAAATGGAAAGTCACGTTCTTTTTCAGGAAGTTAATTATTATTCTTTATTTTATTTTTTTTTTCATAGTCTTTCTTATTTTTGTGTAGAATATAAAAAAATTTGTTTTGTTAGGTTTTTATTTATTTTTTTTTTAATTTTAAGCTGAACAGACGATTTTTAAAAATGAACACAACAGTTTATATTGATTTATTATTTTTAATTAATAAAAGTTTGATTGCACTTTATTTAGAATATTAAAAGCTTTTTGCGTGACGTGTTATCAAAGTTTTCATATATTTCGGATTTAAAATGGATAGCAAACTTTTATTTTTTTGGGGAGGAGGAGAAGGGGGGGTAGTTTAAAAAAAACACATTGTTAATCCTTGTCATTATTTCTCGTTTATGATTTTTTTCTGGTTCAAAAAAAAAGAAAAAAAAATACAGTAATAACTATTAAGTTTCGATTTACACTTGAAAGCATCTTGATGAGGATTTGTGAGAATTTTTAATCCCATTATATGTCGAACGAACCTGTTAAAGTTAAATGACAGAGGGTTGTTGAATGTAAAGGGAAAATTTCATAATTACTTATCGATCGATGAAAAGCGATGAAAGCTACATTACATTGTACTTTACAATCGTATATGATCATGCCAATATTTTGTGGTAAAATTTCCCCTTCTCCCCCAATGCCCTTCAATAATAGTTTAATAAATTCATCCCTTTTGGTTAGTTTGTTGAATTACAATATAAGTGTAATACTTCGCTTATATTCGTATCATATTCACATATTCAATTTTCCAATAAATTAATTATTTGCTGTTTGCAGGTAATTGTAATTATTTACAGTTTAATAATTTAATAATTTAAATTCACTGATTTAAAATAATTATAGCAGACAGATTTTAAATAATTATTATTTACAGTTTTTTTTTAATAATTATAGTTATTTACAGTTTTTTAAATAATTATAATTATTTAAAAACTGCAAATAATTAAAATTACACGCCTCGGATAGTTCGACTTTTTGGAATTTTTTCAACTATTTTTAGAAATGCGACTTTTTTCGACTATTTTTTAAAAAATGCGACTTTTTGGACTTTTCTTCCAAACATTGTAGCAAAATACCACTTTTTTTTTTGGAGTAAAATGCAAAATTACTTGGTTTTTTTTGGGTAAAAAATAATTGCAGTCAAATATTTCAAAAATTATTTTTAAGCACCAAAGGTATAATTAATTAATTAATTTTTCTAAGATAAATAAATTTTCTAAATAGATAATTAAAAAATTTGCAAATAATTAGAATTTTGTAAAATTTCAATGAAAATAATTGATTTTTTAAAAGTATTTCTTCTAAATTTTTGAAAAGCAAATTTGGAAAAATATCAATTTCAAATTTTAAAAATAATTAAATTCTTAAAATTTTTCAAAAAGGAATATTTTCTGAAACAAGACAATTTTTAGAAACGGTTAAGAATTAAACTGTGATTCAGAAAAAAATTGTTTCTTGAATAACGAAGATGGTTTTGAAATTAATTTTTACGATTTTTGAAGTTGATTATCAAATTAGGGCTTTTTTTCATTAAAGGAGAGCTTCATAAAAAAAGGAAACTTTTTTTTTGTCGCAAAATAATTGAAAATTAGAAAAAAAAAAAACTTTTATTTGCAAATGGTACACAATAGACGTGAACGTAAATAGAAATCGATTTTGTTGAATAAAAATTTTATTGGTGCGATTAATAAGTCTAGTCTTTCGCTTATCTAGAATTTATAAAATATAGTAAAGATTTGCTATTTTTAAAGTTGAGATATTTTTTATAAATTTTGTAGAAAGTCGAAATTTGAAGAATTATCAGAGAATATTTCAGTAGTCGGTAAAGAATTATAAATCTGAAAAACCAAAAAATATTACTTTTAACCTGTTTAAATTAATCAGTTTTAAATTAATCAATTTAAAATTAATTAATTAACAAAATTAATTTAATATTATTAATTGACTAAATTATTTAATTGTAAATAAATTAATTGCTTATATTAATGAATTTTAAATTATTCAATTAGCTAAATTGATAATTTTGAAATTAATTAATATTTAGAATTTATTTATATTGACAAAATAATTGAATTAATATTGGTTATATTGATAAATAATTTTGTATTTAAATAATAAAATAATTGAAAGAAACGGACTTTGTTCTGCGTTTTGTAGCTGCAGGTACTGTGGTCAGAGGGTCTTTTAACAAATAAACTCTTAAGCCAATCATATATTTTTGAATATAATCATTCCAATTGAAATCATTCATTGAAAATGGAAATAGTTTCTGATCATCGGGTGATATTTTATTCCAAAGATTTTTTGTCCTTTCATTTTTACCTTTCCAATCGTTTAATGCAAAGTAACTGACCAGATTTACTAAAGTACTTAGCTTTTTATTAATCCTCATTGCCCTGGAAAAATTATTTTATCATTATTCATTTATTTAATATAAATTTATTTAATTTATTTTTACTTCTAATTTTATAATAATAATTATTTTTTTATTATTACTAGGATTATTATTATTATTATTATTATTATTATTATTATTATTATTATTATTATTATTATTATTATTATTATTATTATTATTATTATTACTTCTTTTTTATTTATTTATTTTGTTTTTTTAAGTAGATTGTAAAATAATCGCAAAGTTGATATTAATTTAATATTTTTTTTAATTTCTCACCAAGTCTTTCTTCCGACAATAATTAAAAATATATCGACGATAGATGCGGGTAGAGTTTGTAAAATTGCTTTGGAAATATAATAAATAGTTGAATATTTAAATATTTCCACACTATAGTACCCGACACTATTTAGGGAAGGAACTTGATGTTTGTAGCACAAGTTGTAATATTCTCCATAAGTGATTGAATTTGTCCAGGTGGAAATGTAATTATAAACGAAAGGATCCTCTTCTTGTTCAGTCCTGAGGGAAATTTAATTTAAATTGTAAAATTCATTTAATATAGATAATAATTAAATTAATTAAAAATATAAAATTAATTTTTCAATTATAGTTAATTTTAATTTAATTAATTAATTTATTTAAATTATTGATGAATACGTGGATGTTTACTTGTTCAAAGCAAGATCCCAAGCACATGCGATGAGAGCATTTATTGTTAAGTCCGCTGGAACTACTTCCATTTTCTTTGATTTATCACTAAGCATTGTTTTTAACACTCCAGTTAATCCACCTGCAATTATGCCATTGACTCCAGAAAAATTGTCACTCCAGCCTTGGAGAGGACTTTGATATGTTGACGACACTGTTTTGTGAAACAATTCTCAGGTCATGACAAGTATATTATTAAAATAAAATTAATTGAAAAGTTAGTTACAAATTTTTTAATTTCATTATTAATAATAATAATTGTTTATCGATAACTTCTCCGTGATAAAAGTTATTATTATTTTTTATTTTTTTTTTATTATATTACCCATTGTTATAATAACATTATTCCGTATTAATAATAATAATGATGACAATAGTATAAAAAATAAAAAATAAACTCAAGGGCCGTAAATAAATAAATAAAATGTAATTTGAGAATATAATGGACCTATTGCTGGTCGAAATACTCCAAAAGGTAATTTTTGTCCATGTTGGTGAATTAATTGTTCAGTTATTGCTTTTGTAAACGTATAATTGTTCGGATAATTTTTCCTTAATATTTTCTCGAGACATTCTAATTCTTCTTCACTGAGAATTTCCGCCATTTGCAAAATTCTTTTTCCTAAAATAATAACAGAGGAAATAATTAATTATTTATTTAATTTTATATTAAGTTTATAAATTTTTTACTAAGAAAATCAAGAAATTCTTATTTTTATAATTATTTATACAAAAAAAAAAAAAAAAATTGAATTCTAAGAAATTATACAAATGTGGGACATAATTTTTTTTCTGTCGCTTCTTGTTTTCCCGTTTCTTAATATTTTTGTAGAAAATTTTCTATTTTCATAAGGAAATAATTTACAAAATTTCTATTTCTTCATTACAATTGTTTTAATAAAATTCAAAGTTTGTTAAAAATAGAGGAAAAAAATGTTTATAAATTCTATTTTTCAATTACAAATTTTAATTGAAAGTAAACTTGAAACTTTTAAAATTTTTAGAAAATAAAGGAAACAATATTTTACTCAAAAAAATGTTCTATTACATTTTTACGAATTTCTTTAATTGTAAAATTATTCAAAAACATCAATAACTTCTTTTTTAAATAAATATTTAATTATTATTATTTTTCCACAGGAATTTCATGTTTTATAATAATTTATAATATTTATATTAATTAAAAATTTATGAAAATAATTGAATTATTGCGAAGAAATTTATAAAAAAAATTGTAAATAATTGAATTCCTGTGAAATTTTTATTATTTTTAAAAATAATTAAATGTTTTTGTACAATTTTAATAATTTTTTTTAAATAATTGAATTCTTTTTGGAAAACTTTATTAAAATAGTAGATATTGAAAATAATTGAAGTTAGGACGAGAAATTTATTGTCATTTTTGAAAATAATTGAACTTTTGTTATAATTACAAAGATAATTGGGATTTTGACGAGAATTTTTTTTTACTTTTGAACATAATTGAATTTTATGAGAAGAATCTTATTATTTTAGAAAATAATTGAATTTCTGCAATTATTTGTAATTTCTCCAAAATTGAATTTTTTTTAATGTTTTCAAACAAAAATTTGAATTAAAAATGTTTAAATTCCATTATTTTTAAAATTGCTAATTTTATTTAAAAAATGAGATAAAAATAATTGTTGCTAGTTTAAAATAATAATTTATTTACCTGTTATTGGTGAATCGTAGAATTTTTCATCAATTTCTTTTCTATTGCAGTGAGAATAAAATGTTGAAATATGCATAAATGCCTTCGGAATAAATATTAAAGTGAATATTATTAAAATTGAAATTATTATGCAATTATTTAGAATAAAAAGGGAAAAATTTTCTTTTACTCACCTTTAAATTTTTCATACACAGACAAATGTCAATTAATTGTTTTGTTCCAAAGACATTGTCAGCAATAATGTTTCCCAATTTTTCATTAAATTTCACATTAGCAGCTGCATGAAAGACTATTGAAATTTTTTCCCATAAAATATCTCTATCTTTGGGAGAAATTCCATAATTTGGTAAACGACCATTGCCCTCGATTGATATAATTTTTTCCAAAAATTCCGGATTTTCGCATTTCAATTTATCGTAGATCTAAAAAAAAAGAAGAATTTTATTTCCTGATACATTCGTATTTTCATTTATCGTAGATAAAAATAAGAATTTTATTTCCTGATATTCGCATTTTAATTTATCGTAGATCTAAAAATAAAATTTATTTCCTGATATTTGCATTTTTATTTATCGTATTAAGTAGAAAGATTTTCTCTCTAATTTGATTGGAATTTTTTTTTCTATTTCATGTTTGGAGACTGAAAATTTAATTATTTCCAAAAACATGTCCATAGAGGAAGATAAAAAGTTTTTGATAAAAAATTTGTTTTCGTTGAAAATTTATTTGACAAAAAAAAGGAGAAAAAAATTCTTTAGTATTTCACTGGTGGAACGTTTTGAAGTCTCTATTTATAAAGAATAAATTTTCTAAAGGAAAAAATTCGAGAAAGGCAAAAAAGTTGTTTTACAATTCTATTTGGTTAGGGAAATTTTTTTTTGTCTCAAAAGTGGTCGAATTATTTTTTTCAATTACTGTTTATTCTTTCTTTCTCTCATGGAAATTAATTTGGTTCAAATATTAAATTTATTTTATTTATTTATTTATTTAGTTCAATTTAAATTTTATTTAGTTCACGTAGAAATCATTTTTGTGCTAAATATAATTTTTATTTGAATCATATAAATAATTTAGCAGGCTTTGTGACAAATATATTTTTATTTGACTCAAATAAATTATATTTGGTTCAAATTAAACATTTCCCTTGGTGTAAATATATTTTTCTCTTTATGGAAAAAAGAAAATTCTTTGAGAAGTATTTTTTAATAATTTACCGGTTCTTCTAAAAGGAGTTGAATTCTCTTGTGAATATCTTGATTTTCTTTTCGTCTTATAATTACGTAAATAGAAGTCAATTCTGGACAGCATCTTAGTAGTTTCTCTATGAGTAGCTTCCCTAAAAATCCTGTTCCTCCTTTTTATAGTGAAATTATAAATTCCAATTATTCAATAATTTATTAATTATTAATAATAATTTTTAATTTTTATTTTATTGTATTTTAATTATTACTACATATAAATTACAATTATTAATTTATAAAATTACAAATTATTATTTATATTTATTTATTTAATAATATTAATAAAATTAAATAATAATAATTAATAATTGTCTTGAAAATTAATTAAAATTAATAAAAAATAACATAAAAATAAAATAAAAGTAAATAATATAATAAAATTAAGAAAAGGTTTTAAATTAATTAATTAATTTTATAAATATATTTTTATACCTGTTATTAAGACACTCTGACCAGCATAAAAATTTTGTATTTCTGTTTTCGATTTTAAATCCTGTGATTGCATGATTAAATTAATCTAGTTGGTTGATTATTAAAATAATTTCAATAATTTTATAAACATTATTCATAATAAATTATTCATAAATATTTGATGTAATTTAAAGACTTTGTCTTTTTATTTATTTTTTTTATTATTATAATTCAAGAACTTGTTTGTAGTAATAACCGGTGTTTATAAAAATATGAATAATTCAGAATTACATTATTTTTATTACTTTGTATTCAATGTAGTATATTTATTATTATTTTGTATGAATCAATCAACTTTTTTTTAATTAAACTCAAGACATTTATTTAAGAAATTTATAAACAATTTTTTTTAATTAGAGAAAATGAATTTATTTAAGATAATTATTTATTTGTTTGTTAAATTGATTCGGAAAATTGTTAACTTCTTTCACCTTAATTTTTTTTTTAAATTTGAAGTTTTATTGAAACTTTTTGAAATGTTTCCTTTTTTTAGTTCAGTTTGTGATTTTTTTTTAAATTTTAGTTTGGGATTTTTTTAGTTTATAATGTGATTTACTTTTTTAATTTAGATTTTGATTTACTTTTTTAGTTTAGATTGTGATTTATTTTTTCTTAGTTTAGTTTGAGATTTTTTACTTTAGTTTGTGATTTAATTTTTATTTTTATTCGTGATTTGTTTTTCAGTTTAGTTCGTGTAGTTTGAGAAAAAGTTTAGGATTAATTGGTCTAGTCGAAATTTGACGCACTAACTCCCTTATCAATATTCACTGTCTCTGATATAATATTCGCTTAATAACTCTGCAGTCCACTCACTGAAACCAGTTAATTACTAATGAAGTTTCATTTCGTATTCTTGCTTTATTTAAACTATAAAATCTTCGTAATGTCATGATAATTTATATTTATGATTCTCTCTATGAGATAATTATAATTCAAACATTGTTTATGCATAAAATGTGAACAACCAGAATATCAATAGAAATAGTACAAAGTTTGACTACAGAAATTATTGTAAATTATTAATTTTTGCTAATTAATTTTTTTTTAAATAAACGAGTTTTATAACAAATTAACAATTATTTTGAGATTGTGTCTCAATGAAATTTTTTTTAACAATTAAATTTGAAAATTTTATTTTTGTTTATTTACTTCTTATTAATTATTACTATTATTTATGACTAATTAACAAAATTACAAATTAAATTAATCATAATTGAATCTAATCCTTGCAAAAATTGAAAATTTCTTTGAAAAAAATTGAATTTATTTCGAAAACAATGAAATTTTATGTTTTAAAAAATTGAAAGTTACTTTGAAATAAATTACATTTTTTTTAAACAAATTAAATTTTAACTGGTAATTTCAAATAATTTTTAATACAATTTTAATCGAATTCCTCGAAAAATGTAATTATTCTTAAAAATTTTATTAAAATTCGTCGAAAGAATTCAATTATTTCTAGAAACTGTAAAAAAAATTCTTCTCAAGAATTCAATTATTTATATAAAAAACAAAATTGTTGAGATTTACTAATTTCTTTTGAATATTATTTTAAAGAAAAATTCTTCACAAGAATTCAATTATTTTTATAAATTTCCATAAAATTCTAAAAAAACAATTCAATTAGTTTCAAAGGTAATAAAATTCTTCGCAGAAATTGAATTATGTTAAAAATTTTTTTTAAATTCTCAAAATTTTAATTATCTTTATTAATAGGTAATTAAACTGTTCTCCACAATTTAATTATTTTCAAAAATTTTACCTAGAAATTTAACCATTTTCATAAATAATAACATTCTTTATAATGATTCAATTACTTTTATAAATAGTAAAATTCTTTGCAGAAATTCAATTAGTATCAATATATTTGAAATAAAATTGAATTAATCAAATTTTCAATTATAATTATAAACAGACAAGATTATTTTGAAAAATTGAAAAAATTCTTTGTTAATTCAATTATTTTTCAAATTTTCAATTAAAATTATTAAAAAAAAACATTTTTTTCAAAAAGTTTATAAAAACTCGTCAAAAGAATTTAATTAATTATAAAAACTCTAATAAAAATTTTGGAAGCTATTAGTAGATTTATTTATGTTCGAAATCAAATAAATTTAATTTACACCTGACTCGGAATGATCGTTAAATTCAATGTTTATTAAATATTTATAACAACCGAGTGATAATATCATATAATAATTTTATTAAATAAATTTAAATTTGATGAGAAAAAAAAAACCGAAAAAAATTGTTGAGATTTACAATTCTTTTGAATATTATTTTTTTAAAAAATTAATTATTTAATTAATAATTAAATAATTAATTATGACGAAGCCGGAAAATTTTGTTGAACGAAAATAGTAGACACCCTGTTGAATCATAAGTTAAATTTTATTTGAAAATAAATTTATTGTAAAAAAAAAATATTTTTTTTTTTGGGGGGAAATTTAATTTTTGTGATTAATATAATTTATTGCGTCTAGTATATTGTTATATTGTTAACGGTTAATTTAACACGATTTATAACTAGTCGGTGAATTAAAACAATAGTTGAATTTCTGATGCACAGTGGGTACTGTTGTGCGTTGAATGATGGTAGCTAAATACGTTATGCTCTCTATCTCGTAAACTATAGAATATTCGATTTCAGCATCATGGAATAGTAACAGAATGCATATTAATAATAATCGTCCGTTCTGCAGGCATACAACAAAGTGCGAATTCAGCTAGTTACGCGATAGCTTTGCGAATCCATTCAAATCTTGGATGTATGACTAATGATATCAAAACTCAATAGCAAACATTAATCACCTCATGTACATCACAGTCTTTGACTAATTTCGTAATTTACCATTTAAAATATTTCTCCTTTCGTTCGATAATAATCGTTTGAAAATTTTCTGGATTTTTCGGAAAATTATTTTCTTTTTTATTGTAAAAGAATTTTTTAAATTTTTTATTGGAAAAATATTCAGTATTTTAATTGTAAAATATTTTCTATTTTTATTTAAAAAAAAAAATATTTTGTTTATTTTTATTATTTTACTTTTTATTTGTAAAAGTATTTAAAATTTTTATTGGAAAAATATTTTTTAATTAGATAAATTATTTTTTAGTTAGATAAATTATTTTTTAGTTAGATAAATTATTTATTAGTTAGATAAATTATTTTTTAGATACATAAATTATTTTTAGTTAGATAAAATATTGTTTAGTTAGATAAAATATTATTTAGTTAGAGAAAATATTATTTAGTTAGATAAAATATTGTTCAGTTAGATAAATTATTTTTTAGTTTGAAAATATATTTTTTACTTAGATAAATTAATTTTTAAATCGGATAATTTTTTTTAAATTAGATAAATTATTTTTAAAATTAGATAAATTTTTTCCCCCAAATTTAATAATAATTCCTGACAGTGTAAATATAATTTCAAGTGTAATAGGAGTTTACACACACACACACAATCGTGTGTTTCTGTTAATAGAGTGTTAAATTATGCAGGATTACGACGAGGCAACTGGTAGGATTAAAACAAAACAAAAAAAATTCAGGTATTATCGTTGCTTCAGATTTGGTCATTTATTTCATTTTTTTTAACGCGAGGATTACTTTTATTACTCATTTACTGAATAAACTTGTCTTTTGCAAAATTGTTACGCTTTAAAAAAATCAAATAAACATTTTTATTTACGTTCACGTATTCATATGTATATAAGTTTATGAGTGCTTTTATAATTTATAAAAATTTTAATATTATTTTGCAAAAAAAAATTTTATTGCTCTCTTTAGTCTAAATTATGGAAAATAGTTCGCTGCTATTCGCTAATGGTAAAAAAAAAGTTTTATTAATGAATAATGAATAAATTTGATTTAGTTCAATTTTATTTGCTTCAAAATAATTTTATTTGATTTAATTAAATTATATTTGTTAGTTTAGAAATAAATTTTATTTGGTTCAATTAGTTTTTATTTGCTTTAAATAAATTTTATTTGATTCAATTAAATTATATTTGTTACAAATAAATTTTATTTGGTTCAATTAGTTTTTATTTGCTTCAAAATAATTTTATTTTATTCAATTAAATTATTTTTTTTTTGCAAATAAATTTTAATTGGTTCGATTAGTTTTTATTTGCTTCAAATAAATTTTATTTGGTTCAATTTTGTTTGCTTCAAAAATTTTTTATTTGATTTAATTAAATTATATTTGTTATATAAATGAATTTTATTCGGTTCAATTAGTTTTTGTTTACTTCAAATTTTATTTGATTCAAATAAATTTTATTGAGTTCAAATAAATAATTTAGTAAGTTCTGTGACAAAAATATATATATATTTTTTTTGATCGAAATTATATTTGCTTCAAATATAACATTTCCCTGGATGCAAATATTTTTTCCACAGTAAAAATGACTAAAATGTGAAAATTTTTACTAATTCAGATTTAGGGGGTAAAATTAAAATGTTTGTTGAAGATGAAAAAAATTAAAGATGTGAAAAAAGAAAATTTACATGGAAACTTGTTTTCAAGGAAATTTTTCATCAAAATTGAAAATAGAGTTTTAAAGATATATTTTTTTATATTTCTTTATCAGGAATTATATTTCTTTTTTCTGTAATATTTTCCCTCATGTTCTTGCGAGATATTAGTCTCTTAGAAAAGAATCCGAGAAGTTTTACGATCCCATATATATGTGCTATGTCCCTGCTTCATCACTTTCCTATCGATAAACTTTTCTCTTTCAATGTTGACACAGCAAACGATGATTTTTATTTTCTAATAATAAAAATACTCTTTGAAAAAAATACTTTATTTAAAAAAGTGCTTTATTAAAAAAAACTTTATTAAAAAAATACTTTATTAAAAAAATACTTTATTAAAAAGTATTTTATTTAAAAAGAATTTTATTTCGAGTACTTTATCAAACAATACTTTTTCAAAAAATACTTTTTTAAAAACTACTTTTTAAAAAAAGTATTCTATTTAAAAAGAACTTTATATATTTTAAAATACTTTGTTTAAAAAAGATCTGAAAAATTCTTTATTTTGAAAAAAAAAATTTGTTTTAATTCATTTTGAATACGTATAAATTTATACAAAATTCGCACACAATCTTATGCCAGAAGAGAAGAATTTTTCCTAATTTTTTCCGTCTTGCACAAAAGACATTGAAGCGAGACGAGTTTTAGTCGAAAAGTTTGTCTGAATTCGTTTCTTTTTCTCATATTAGAAAAGTCAGTA